TATCTATGGTTGCAGTGAAAGGCGCTGCAGGAGACGGATGGATTCAGTGGAGGTGCCGTCTGCACTGTCCTCCCGCTGGTTTACAGGAGAGAGCCACGGATGGAGAGAGATGGAGGAAACAGCTACTGTCAGGACAGATACCAAATGCTGATCCTAGAAACCATCCTTCAAAGGAGACTGACTTTGTTTCAGTCTGTGGGGTAATCCATGCCTGAGGGAATTGTTGAAAGTAAGAGAATATTCAGCCTGCAAACAGGGCAGCTCTTCACCTGGGCATGCAGAGAAAGAGGCAACCAAGCCACTGTGGACCCAGGTGCTGTGTGAATGCCGTGTGTAATCTTTGAGACTGGCTTCCTTCACTCGGCACAATGCCTCTGAGGTCCACCTGTGTTGTTGTGTAGACCAATAGTCTGTTGTTTTTTATTGCTGACTAGTTTTACGTTAATGGATGTTCTCTACTTTGCTTATTCATTTAAATTTTGAAAGACTTCAGAGGCATCCCCAGCTTCTAACACACATGACGTTGCTATGAATATGTGCATACAGATTTTGTGAACAATGATTTCATCCCTCTGGAGCAAACACCCAGGAGCGGGAAATCTAGGTCATGAGCTCAGTGCATGTTTACTTTCATGAGAAACTGTGAAATGACTTTCCAGAAGGGCCATCACATTTTCCATTCCTGCTCGCAACGTTGGAGGCCCAGGAGCTCTGTGTGTTCACAGGAGTCGTACTGTCAGTACCAGCGATTTTATGGTGATGAGTGTGCAGGGTGCCTCACTGTGGTCTTGATTTGATTTCCCTGATGACCAGCGATGTTGAGTGTCTTCTTCTCCTGTGCTTCTTTACCATCTCTGTGGCTTCTTTGATGCAAGGTCTATACAAGTCTCTGCCGGTTTCTAAAGCATTGTTCCGTTCTTTCTTCTGAGGTATGAGCATTCTTATTGTGTTCCGGATGCAACTCCTAATGTGGTTATGAGATCAGCAAATATTTTCTCCTAGTCTGCAGCTTGTTTTTCATTATCTTGACACTCACTGAGGCAGAAAATAGTTTTTAATTTTCATGGAGCTACTTTATGGTTTTATTTTCTTTTATGGATCTTGCTCTTTCAAATATGACTTTTCATTTTCATGATGATTGGTTGTCTGTGGATAATTCTGTGGTTTACAATCTAGCCAAAGACCTTGCTTTTTTTGATCCCTCACAGTGCTGACCTGTTCACTCACTGATCTGTTAACTCAGTGGTTTTTCTGTTTATTTGCTTATTTAATTTATAGACTATGGCGATTCTTTTCCATGGTGTGATTTTCATAAGACGTGGATAATTCTGTTTTAATTCTCAGACTTTAAGTTGAATGCTGCTTTGCTGTATCTTTTCCACTAAGTTGCCTGTAGATTGAATACATGTGCTTCTGGCATCAGGCTTAGGCATTTTCCTTTCCAGCCATTGGGTTTATGAATTATCTTGGGATCTTATGGGCTCTCTGGGCACAAAATTCTGTCCTGGAAGCAAGAACTATCAATCAAATGTCCCAAGTGAAATCCCTGAAAATTCCTTTTGTGCACTGCCACAGCCAGACACTCCAGGCTGGGAACACAGTCCGTCTGTTTTAGCCTCTCATAAAATTATTTAATCTGTGCTCCTTTTAGATTACATTTTGTTCTTCATCGTAAGAAAATCTGGTGTCTGTATTTCAGTAATTCATGCTTTCTTATCTGCTAATCCTTCTCCAACTTGATATCCAGCATTTTAACAAAGATGTACATTGTGCTTGTTTGTATTCTGCCTCCTTGAGACATATGAGCCCATGAAACAGGCTGCGTGATGTGAATGATGCACCTGTGTTACATAATGAACTTGTGTTCCATTTTTGTGCAACATGTAGCTTATAAACAAAGGATAAGGGGACATGAGTCTTCTGAGTAGACAAGAGAAAGGAAGACGAGGCTCCCAGGCTCCTCACTGTAAGAGGAAACCCCAGAGCCTGGCAGGAAATGCCATCTCCCCACAGTTTCCTGTTCTGCAGAGGTGGGGGCCCTGGTGAGACCCAGACAGGGTTTTTGTATAGGAGGCCCCTGGAATGTATCTCTGTTCCCTCTTTACACAGTAATATGTGGCTATGTCTGCAGGGTCCAAACTGGTCATTGTCAGTATCACCTGGTTTTTTGAGGTGTCCTTGGAGATTGCGAGCCGGCTCTTCAGAGATGGGTTGTAATGCTTTTCATCAGTCCAGCAAACATAGGTGAGCCACTCCAGGCGCTTCCCAGGGGGTTGACGGATCCAACCAACACCAATATCAGTAGTCAGTGAGAACCCAGAGAAGGAGCAGGTCAGCGTAAGGGTCTGGGTGGGCTTCAGCAGCCCAGGACCAGACTCCTGCAGGTTGATCTGGGACAGAGCCCCTGTGGAGAGAGCAGAAGAAGGTGAAGCTGGTTCATAATGAGAACAGGAGTCTTTTCATACCTGAGCGAGTCTCTGATGAGAGCACTCACAGGAAGGGGTGGTCAGCAGCAGGAGGGTGGGATACAGTGTGTCCATCATGGGGCACAGGAGTCGCTGCCCCTGGTCCAGTGCTCAGCTTTTCAACCCTGGAGAGGGTAGAGCTGGGGGAGATTTGCATCCCCCTCACATGACGCTAATGCATACGTGGGACTCAGGTCTCTGCAGCATGGGAGCAAATTCGTGCTGGAGAAGTAGTGAGCCCTTAGCTGTGAGAGTCCATGTCTGTTCTCCACGGGGGCACCCCTCAACTTCAGGTCTGGGGATGGTTGGACACACAGTCCTCAGAAGTGTCCTTTGGTATGGATAGAATCAAGGCTAGGAGGCCCATGTTCCAAGAGACAGTGTCCTCTCCTTGGACACTCATCCAAAGACCTGTGGCTCTGGTCCTAGAGCAGTGGAAGTAGAGAGCTAGACAGACAGGGATCCTCCTGCCTTCCAGAGACAGAGGTGTGTGCCTGGGGGAGAGCAGAAGCCTCTTCCTGAGAGTTCTGTGCTGGCTTCCCATTGATTAGGACACAGAGGGATGGGATTTTTAAAATAAGGAAGGGTCAATCCTCAGGCATTATTTACTGTGTAAACAAGTGCATGCTGCTGAGTGTATCCACACTGTGTGTGCATTCCCATAGGAATAGTCCACGTGTATGGCCTTGTCCTGGTGCCCAGTAAGCCCTGTGACACACAGGCTGGGATTGAACTTGCTGTCAGCAAGATGCTCCCCTGTGGTCCTCCACGCCAGCTGCTCAGAGCCTCTCCTGAGTTGTGGTGAACAGAGAGGAACAGCTGGCTGAGGACCAGTTCTGGCCCAGCCTCACCCCACACGTGCACTGGAGATGGTCCCCTTTCCTGCAGGGTCCTTGAGACTTTCTCGGTCCAGATTTTCCACATTACTACTTATGATAACATATGGAAATGGCATATTTCTAGAACAGTACACTGCTATATACACAATTCCATACTGGCCATCTTGAGCTCCATGATTTGTGGACTTTAGTCATTCTGCACTCCTTCCGTAAAATATGGTCATCACCTATCTTTAAGTGTTGTTGTACAACCATGGTTCTGCAGTAAGTAAAGGCTTGTAGCTGACGTGTGGTTCTATTGCCAAGAGGTTTAGTCATCAACAGCAGGAAACGCGGCTAAGTGGCAGAGAGATTAAATTATTGGAAATGCACAGTGAGCTCAGGGTCAGATAAGAGACTGGAGGAAGCCTGAAAAAGGGTTGAAAAGGTCATTCCAGATCACAACCAGCAATCCCCTGACTTTCCCTCACTGCCTTCCCACAGAGTACCCCGCTTCCACTAACATGCCTATGAGCTTGGCTCAGTCACTGTTTCAGAATCTTGGAAAGAGTAAGTTTGGCCTTAATTTGGTTACACATTCAACTTATGATAAGGAATTGCAATGAGTAAATTGTTTTCACTAAAAAGAGATAATTAGATGCACCAAGATGAGTTTCACAAGTAAAACGATTTGACGTTGCCCTATGTTGTAAGGAAGATGTACATAAAGCTAAGGAATCTTTACTCATGTAATTTCTTCCTCCAACTGTATGTGCACACACACACACTCACACACCTGTGCACATACCCATTCACATATAATTTATTCAGATCTACATTTTACATAGTGTTCTGTTGAAGAAGGTAGATCAGGCTCAAATACAACAATGCAAAAATGAAAATACACACCCATCAATCTCTTCTGTGAAGGGACAACTTCATCTAGTAACTGATGTAAAACGGAAATCCACATAGGTGACCATGCATTTGCACACGAGGCTTGCGCTAATTTTTTCTTTCCCATTTAGATACCTCTTGCTTTTTTCTTCCCAAATTTCTCTGGCCAGGGCCTCCAGGCCTGTGCTGAATGGGCTTGGTGAGAGTGGGCAGCCTTGCATTGTTCTTGACCTTACAAGAAATGGTTTCCTTCTTTTCACCATTGAGTGTGATGTTGGCTGTGAGCTGGGCTTTCATGGCATTCATTATACTCATTAGTTTCCCTGATTCCTAGCTGCTGAGTGTTTCTATCATTAAAATATGTTAAATTTCATCAAATAGTTTTCCTGCATTGATTGGCACTTGAGGGAGACAGAACATTCTATTCAACAAATGGGAGTGTGATCCCTGGATATCCACATGTAGAAAAATGAAATTGAACCCTATCGTACACCACATACAATTAACTCAGAATGTTCAAGGCCTACATGTAAGACCTAAAACTATAAAAATCCTAGAAGAAAAATGGGGTAAAAGCTGCATGACAATGGATTTGGCAACAATTTCTTGGATAAGACACCAAAGCGTAGGCTACAAAGGCAAAAATAGCGAAAACAGGCTAATTCAAGCTCAAAGCCTCATGTGCATGAAAGGATATAAGCAACAAAGTGAAGAGGCAACCTGCATAATGGGAGAAAATATTTTCAAACCATATGCTGGTGCTATGTTAGTATCAGAAGATGTGAAGAATGCCAACAAGTGAACAACAACAAAAAACCAAATAACTCATCTCAAAAGTGGTTGAAGAAACAGAATAGACATTTATCCAAAGCTGATATACAAATGGCCGAGCAGCCCTGAAGAGATGGTTAACATCACTAATCATTTAAAAAATGCAAGGCAGAAGCCCAATGAGATGCCAGGTCACACCCCATGGGATGGCCGATAACCAGTGTGTGCAAGGATATGGAGAAATTGAAACCCTCCTACACTGCTGGTGGGAATGTAAAATGTCAGCTGCTGAGAAAAGCAGTATGGAGTTTCCTCAAAAATTAAAAAAATAGAACTACCATATGATCCAGCCATCCCATTTCTTGGTGTATTCCCAAAGGAGTTGAAAACAGCATCTCGAAGAGATATTTGGAAACTCATTTATAGTAGCCTTATTCACAATATCCAATAGGCAGAAGCAACTTAAGTGTCCATTGATGGATGAAAGGATAAACAAAATGTGGTACAAACATGCCATGAAATATTATACAGCATTAAAAAGGAATCCCATCACATGTTACAGCCTGGATGAGTGTTGAAGATATTATGCTGTGCATCTGTGTGTGTGTGTGTGTGTGTGTGTTTCTGTGCCCAGCCACCGTCACACTGGACGTCAGAACCTTCCTGCCTTCAGATGCCACAGTGAGTGGTTCTGTGAGCAGGTTGCTGATACAGTGACCAGGACACAAGATTTCTATCTTCTTTGGCTTGGAAATATGCTCTCATTCTGCAGCCTCACAGGAAGCATACAATTTGAGCCCCTGATTGTTGGCTAACTTGTGTGTTGAGTCATGCTGAGCTCTGTGTCATTGTTGAGTCCTGGAGAGCCTCTGCTATGGATATATAGCTGATCTAAATTGGGAGTTTCAAAACTAGTTGGCATTTAGGGTCACAGTGATGTCCCTGAAACATCCTTTTGATTTAGGGAATTTGGGACCGTCTTCACAGAGAACCATGGCCATGTGGATCCATCAAGTGCTACCTCTATGTGTTAGAATGAGTCATGTATCCCTCAAGGATTGATTATGTTGACTCAGGGCTCAGGGAAGCAACTCTTAGGATGAGATTACTGGCTGTGTCTCACTGAAGTGCTTTCCCCATTCTATAGGATGCTCAAGGGAAAGACTATGCTGTGCCTGGACAGGCCATGGGATGGTCCCTTCTGCGGAGGGAGATCAACCTCTATTTGAAGAGCAGTCTCTACTGGAAAGGTTGGGTTGCAGAGGTCACATTCTTACAGGAAGACAGCATGAGGATTCTCTGAAATGACTTTGCTTCTGAAGCTGCCTAGGCCACCATCACTAAAAAGGGTACCAGTCCTCAGGGTTATGTGGTAAAGAGCCCACAGCAGCCCTGTGAGTCAGCCAAGGGGATAATTCAACCATTGTCTTGTAGTGGGGAGGCCAATGACCCTGATAATACAGATCTGAAAATATGTGTAGAAAGGAACTTATCAATACGTGCATAAAAGAGAGGACCCCTGAAGCATTGCCAGAAGAAGTAGAGGGAGAAGGAGAAGGATGATGATGATGAGCGTGGATGAGGAGGAGATAAAAGAAAAGGAGGGGAAATTTTGGGAAAAAAAACCATAAGTCAATAAAGCAGAATACATCAAGCTGAAGAAAATCTGAAACAGTCTGTAACTTGAATAATTTGGAAATATAAAACTTATTAAAAGTATTATACAATAAACATATAAAATAGTAGTGGTGTTTTCTGTGCTCTACACTGTAGATTTGGAATTAACTTAATTATCTGCAAAAATTCACCAATTGGCAAAACCTTATTGCTGTCATGAATACTGTGGCTTAAATTATAGTTACATGTGGGAAAACCAAACAAATTTGAAAAGGTACCCTCTTACAACAATTACAAAATCCGAAATAGAGGACAAAGAGTAATGACTCACCTTAACCCCTGGAAATACCACCTTACATAGAATAGGCTGGAAAACCAGTGTCTTTCTGCCCCAACTAAGCAAGCAAGCAATGCAACCAAGTACATATTACTAATGAGTTCAGACACACAAAACAACAATGGTGCCTTTGTTTCCTGCCATCACAGGAATTCAGGATAGTCAGAGCTCTGTAGTTTTCAGTATAGTGATTTCTCACATCCTTGATTAAATTTATCCCTGAGCATTTTATTGTAGTTGATGCTTCTGCAAGTGAGATTGTTTATTTATTTTCAGATATTTCATTATTAGTGCATAACAACATGGCTGATTTCCATATGTTGATTTCGCGTCTTGCAACAATAGTGAATTTATTAGTTCTAACAGGATTTTTTTGTTCCTATCTTCAGGATTTTCTGTAGATGAGAAGATATAAACTGCAGATAAAGATACTTTCACCTCTTTTTTTTCTGGTTTGGATGCTGTTCATTTCTTTATCTTTCCTGATAGCTCCGGCTCAGACTTCCAGTACTGTGCTGAATTACAATGGGGAGAGTGGGCATCCTTGTCTCGTTTCTGATCTTAGAAGACAAAGTTTTAAGCTTTCACCATTGCGTATGATGTTAACTCTGGGCTTGTCATATACAGCCATTATT